CTTCTCTCTTCTCCTTCCCTTCTTCACGGCTCCGCCGCGGGCCGGCATGGGGCTGCTGTCGCAGGGCTCGCCGCTGAGCTGGGAGGAGACGCGGCGGCACGCGGAGCACGTGCGGAAGCACGGCATCCTCCAGTTCCTCCACATCTACCGCGCCCTCCGCGATCGCCACAAGGACGTCCTCAAGTGGGGCGACGAGGTGAGACCCCCCCCACACACACACCCCGGACCCGACCGGCACGGCCTCTCCGCGACCCGGGCGCAGGGTGCTGCGGTGCGGCCCGGGCCTTGCCCGCCGCGGTGCCCGGGAGCGGGTCCGCTCAGCTCGGCCGCGGTGGCTCGGCGAGAGGGGGGGGGGGGAGAAGTTCAGGCTGCCCGGCGGGGCTTTGTTTCTGCCCCCATCCCCGCACGGCCTCTGGCTCGCTCGCCGCCTCCGGTTGCGCGGCACGGTCGCCCCGGTGTTACCTTGTGATTTATTATTTTTTTTTGAAGGCTACGACAACTTTCAGCGGTTCCCTCAGGCGTCCCTAAATCCACGGAGCGGCCCCCCTCGGGAGGTGCGCTCCGGCGAGCGGTGATGCCTGGCAGCGCTTGCTCGTTCCCGTCACTTTGTTTTCTCCGGAGCGAGGTCCCATTAGAGCACGTGCACGTCTAAATTCCAAGGTACTGCCAATTCGGCCTCGGAATCTGGTTTTGGGAGCAAAGCGGGGACCTGGCGGTGGGCAGGTGGGCTCGGCAGCGGCAGCCCCCTCGCCACGCACCAGCTCCCGCCGTGGTCCCTCCCGGCTCGTCCCAGTGGAAAGGGACCCGCCAGGCCTGGCTTTACCCCGAAGTCTTCCAGGCGTTTGGCGCAAGTCAGCCTGCCTTTTGAACAAGGATGAGGAGGATCGCTCCGGTCGTGACTTGAACTTTGTTACAGGTGCTTTGTGCCCAAGGACCGTAGCTTTATCCGTAGGTCTTGTGGGTGTTGCTGTGCAAACCTGCGCCGGATTGTGTCCCAGCTTGACGGCGCCCTGCGAGGAGCAGAGTCTCCCTCCTGTATTGATCGGTGGGATTTCCCGAGGGTCTCCGCTTTCCCTGGAGACAGGGAGCAGCTTCGCATGTGCTGCACTAGAAGCCATGCTTTGTCATGCTGTTTGTCACTTGGAGGTGTCTGTGATGTGACTGCAGGGAAGTTGGAAGAGCAGAGTAGAAGGTGAGCAATGTGGGGGCTTTTGTGAGAAAACATTGTCCAGGTGGTAACAGTAGCTGTTCACAGATGCTCTTTGCCAGAGGAAAATGCAGTTCCCCTTGTGTACCTTGAGAGACCTTGTCTCTTAAAGCCTGTTCTTTTAAGGAATTGCTGTCATGCTTCACATAACTAAGTGTCATGGTTTAACCCCAGCAGGCAGCTAAGCACCACACAGCCGCTCACTCACTCCCCCCCACGGCGGGGTAGGGGAGAGAATCAGAAGGGTAAAAGTGAGAAAACTCGTGGGCTGAGATGAAGACAGTTTAATAGGTAAAGCAAAAGCCATGCACGCAAGCAAAGCAAAAGGAGGAATTCACTGCTTCCCATGGGCAGGCAGGTGTTCACCATCTCCAGGAGAGCAGGGCTCCAGCACGCATCACAGTTGCTTGGAAGACAAAATGCCGTCACTCTGAACGTCCCCCCCCTTCCTCCTTCTTCCCCCAGCTTTATATGCTGAGCATGACGTCCTATGGTCTGGAATATCCCTTTGGTCAGGTGGGCTCAGCTGTCCCAGCTGTGTCCCCTCCCAAGTCCTTGTGCCCCCCCAGCCTCCTCGCTGGTGGGGTGGGGTGAGAAGCAGAAAAGGCCTTGGCTCTGGGTAAGCACTGCTCAGGGGTAACTAAAACATCCCTGTGTTATCAACACTGTTTTGGTCATAAATCCAAAACATAGCCCCATACCAGCTACTGTGAAGAAAATTAACTCTGTCCCAGCCAAAACCAGTACGCTGAGCAAGACAAGCAACGGAGCACAGGAGCTGCTTTCAAGAGGAGTGAGTGGGGGCCTGGCTACTAAAATCTGTCCAGTGAAGGGAATGATGCTGCCAGCATGTCTAGTCTACACTGCAGGGTTTTGCAGCCAGAGTAATGTGGACTCAGGAAATTTAAATGTATCTATCCCTGTCTGACATCTCTGTGTTCCTACATCTCTTGTATGACTGCAGTTACTGTGACAGAAGAGCCTCACCAACAGTCTTAAGTTCAGGAATATAGACGGAACAGAGTCTCCCTATTGCTCTGAGACTTAGCTTGAGGGTTTTCTCATTAATCTTTAAGACGGGGTTCTCATTTTTCAGTGGGTGTTACATTTTAGTTGTCCTTGCTTTCTCAGGGTGAGGTTTCACAAGATAGCTAAGGTGGATCTGCTGGTGAGCTGGCTCGGCTTCCCTCTCCTTGCTCCAGGCTCGTGTTTCTTCTGCCTTCCTTGCATTGTTACTGGCTACGTAACTTCAAGAAGTTCACCCAGCAGAAAACTCTTCTCCCATTCAGTTTTCTAGGGTGGTTCTTTTTCTCAGCAGAGCTTCCACTGTTTCACAAGTTCTGCTTGATGTGAGGAAAGTAGCAGGAGCGTGTGCAAGAAAGGGGCAAGCAGAACCAGCACCTGCAGCTAGTCACTTGGTAAGCTTAGCTCTACGGTGAAACTTGCACCCCAGGAGCCTCATTCTTCCTTTGGTGTAGGGACAATACTGAAGAAAGTATTTATGCTTGGTAAACGGTGGTGTGTTATGTTTAAGGAGATTCACAATTTTGTCATGCCTAGTGTGGCAAGAGTCAGAATTTTAAGACTGGTATGATTACAGCCACGATTCTGATAAGGAGGTAAGAGCTGTATTTGAAATGCCTGTGAACATTAGAGAAGGTCAGGTAACCTGGTTCATCATCTGCCTCTGATTCTACCAAATGGTAATAAACTCAGGTGTGGCAACTTATCTTTATTCTACTGTATTATGCAATTATAACACAGCATTTGGGAGTGTGTTAATGTACCAGATACCTGCTGCCCATCTGCTCTTGTTGTGCAAATGCAAAAACATACCTGTCTCCATAACTTATTCCAGCTGTGCTGTAGATAGACTGGTGGGGAAAGCACTAAGTTTGTTTTTCCTCTCAGATATCTAGTTATTAGAAAGTGGCGCCACATTTACATGCAGCTTAGATGAATCAACTGACTAATTGGATAATTTTCATAAAAAGCCTTTTGTGTACTTTGACCTTCATGTATAAAGTCATAGCCCGAGGCTATTTCATTGTTTTAAAAACCTCTTGAAGATAGAAATCAAGAATGAAGATGACAGCCCTCATGTAATGGTAGAGATGAAATCAGAATAAACAAAATTACCTCTATGTTTGAGAGATGTTTCTGAGACCGTGTTTGGCGAAAGATGTATTTTTTTTGTTTGCTTCATTTTTAAGGAATGCGTATGAGGAAAAAACCAACTTTCATAGCGCATACGGAGTTTGTCTTTCAGGGCAGACGTGAATACTTTAAAGATTGTCCCCATCTAGCTGATGCTATTGTGAAAAAGAAATCTGGTGTTTGCTCGTGAGTGTAGAACCAGCCTTTGCTTTGGATCTGTTTTCAACAGGACTCCGCTTCGCACTGTGTGTTGTAAGACTCGTTATAGAGCTGTGGTGGTCCTTTGAGGTGCTTGTAACCTCCTAGGGACTCCACTCCCTGTTGTGCTAGGGAATGAAACTGTGGGGAATCTTTATATGCTTTCTGCCTCTTGGGTGCCAGACAAAAGTGTTGAGGCTAAGTGCTAATGGAAAAGGATGGTGGCATTTGCTTTGAAGGAAGTGAGGCAGCATCACAGCTTGCATTGCAGGGTAGCGTTCCCTAGTGCTCCCATCCTCACCTAAGTAAAGAGCTGGAAAGGTCAAAACACTGGTTCTGCTACCTCTTGAAAAGTCAATCTGCAATCTTCTTGTTTGCAGGGTTAGCAGAACCAAGGGGTTTACCAAACAGCTGTTGTCTCTTTTGGGGACAGTTCTTTTTTTACTCTGCTTTTCCACAACCATGAAGTCTTTGTGATGGTAAAAAAAAAAAAAAAAAAGAAGACTAAAAGTGTGAGTGTAACAGAGAATAAGACTTGCTTAAAAAAAAAATCTTTCTAAAGGTCTCTTTGAACCTGCATTTGCAGGGACAGATCCTTTGCCTCTATCATCCTTCTGCCTCATTTAAAACTGACAGTTGGCCCCTCTGTTTATGCTTGGCTTCTCCTGACTGTGGAAAATACAAAACACTGAACTATCTCATTGTCCCTCATCAAACCCCTCCTTATTATCCTTGCCTTAATGCCCACAGAAGTTGGGCAACAATTAGATCTGCTGATGAGACCCTGTCACACTAACCAGTACGGTCTCACGGTCTCCTTGTTGTTTTCATGTTCCTCTCCCACCAAACAATGTATGCTTATCTTTGGGTTTGCAGAGTAGTGGTCATTAAGGGTTTTTGTTTGTTTTTTTTTAATGCAGCAGACACAAAAACCTGCAACTTCTCAGTACTGTGTTTTAAAACTCCAGTAGAGTTAGTAGATACTATGTGAAATGATTGGTTTGTGCGGCTTGGCAGATATTAGTGGTACCAAAAGAGTTTAAAGGGGTTTTGAGAGTAAGGCAAAGCCTATTCTGCTGCCTCCCAGCTTTTGTCCCCAAAAGTTCTCTTCTGTGCCAGGGCATTACCAGTCTCCTGTGCTGTTCAGTGCCTCTTGTCTGCTGATTGCATTTCTCTAGCTGGCAGGTGTTGCTTAAATTTCACCTTGCAGCTTAATGTGGGCACTTGGATCAGACAAGTGGAATGGCTGGCCCGTGGCTAGGCTCACTGCCATTGCTTTGTGCTGAGCATGCACACGAGTGTACGAATCACAGCAGTTTGTGCGTAACTACATATACTTATGAATTCATACGTGCATGTAATACTTATTTTCTTTGGTCTGTTTTGCTGCTAAATGGGACAGGTTGGTTGTTCTCCAGGCTGAACACCTATGAGAAGAAATTATACAAGCAAGAAGAGTTGGAAAAGGAAAATTGATGGGGGAAAAAGAAATGATAAAGAGTAAGGAGGAGCTGCTTCAGCATATCAAGATGTCAAGAAAGGAGTGCTGGAGAAAGATCCACTCAGAAGGAGGGGTCTAGAAAGCAAGCATGGGCAAAACATGACAGTTTTATTTGAAAGTATATGTGAATGAA